CCGAGGAATGAGAACTGGGAAGTCGTTTGTGGAGCAGGACACGGACACATCCTCCAAGAGAGGCGCGCCATCCAAGATATGCGATGCAGTCAGAATGGACGACCGTATGGCGAGGTCATCAGCGACACAATCAAGGCTGAAAAGAACGAGAGCCGGCAAATTTCCCCGAATAGGCGATAGAAGATGGAAAAGACGAGCTGGAATGGAGAAGTAGACATCTCTCCATCGATGACAGTGGCGAACCAAACCCTGCAAAAGTCGCTCCGTGACACCGTCATCCCTGCTGTAATACGATGGTCTACGTGCATATATCTCGTCGTCGTCCTCCTCCTCCTCCTCATCCGACGAGCCCTCTTCCGAGTTTTTCTCTGATTCGCACTCTGATACATCATTACCACCCGCTGCTTCAAAATTGAACTCCAAGGATCGTTCCGCCCCGCGGGAAAGCACTAATGAGAGGAGAGCGACGGGGTCTTTCATATCATCCCATGAGGGCCGCTCGAGCATGAATTCGGACCAGATGTCCGGGCACTGTTCCGTTGCAACGACCCTCCATTTATGGCACACACGACTAATGACAAAGGGTTTCCATCGCATATCCAAAGCATCACCCATCTCTGAAGTCGCTTCCTTGAAAACCTGCGTTAGCATCTCTACAGGAAGACGCTCGATGGGAGGCATGGCTGTCTTGATATCAGCGTCCACACGCAGGAGGTGGTCTTGGATATTCTTCAGTTGCGAATGGGCGGCCATGAGAGACTCCATGTCAGACGTTATGAGGCGAAGGGCGTCAGATACGTCTTTGGATAGGTCTTCCAAGACTTTGGCGTCGGATTCTGCGGGAAGGTTATTGGTTTTCAGAAAGGGAGAAAAGGATTGTGGGAAGTCATAGTCGAGGTTGGATGCATGCTGCTGGACGAGCAGTTCCAAAATTTCGGAGAGGTTCGACATGGTAATAGTACTAGTAGGTAGAAAATGCAAGTGTCAGCGCGCACAGTCAAATGATATCGGAGCATCCAGCGAATACCTCTAAATCACGTCTGACAAGTTGTTTCAGCAAGTACACTGGACGTAAAAAAAATGTCTGTTCGCAGAAACGGGCAGACGAGCCTACGTTTGTTTATCGGGAAAAAGTACAAAGACTGCTTTTGTCTCTCGAATGTTCTCACGTGCATTTTCTCGGCTTGGCTCTTGAGGGCAAGAAGATGATGAATGCACAGCCACACTCGTCGTTCGCGAATCGCGACCACATGATTTGGCCCGTATGTAAGTAAAATTACAGTAAAGTCGTCTGTCGCGTCATTTCGTCCTCCTCTGTCATTATGTCATCGCGTCACCTACCATCAACTATTTGTATGACTTGCAGGAGCCACACCGACGCGCCTTCCCAGAGTATAAAAAGGGGTCCGCTTGCCAAAGACTGACTTCGACACTTCTTTCTTCCCTCCTCCCACCATCTCTGCTTCCTTCCCTCTCCGCCCATTCTTGCGTACCGTCTATTCACTCTCTCAGAGTGCATGAAATTCAACAAGACTCTTGGAGTGAGACAACGAAGGGAGGAGGTTTAGACGAGTTTCGCTTGGCCGTATAATAAGATGGGCCAAACGAAGGTCGAAATCGGATGGAGAATCAAACGACAACCGCACCGGGTGGGAAGGACCGACGCTGCTAATATCATGAGCATGCCAAACGAACTTGGAAAGCAAGTCTTGTACCAAGTGGGACCGTGCTCTCCCTGTACTGATTTCATACTTTACACCACTTGGACCTGCACGCGTCTATAATGCCAGGAAAGTACATCCGTGGCGTGGATAACACTGAGGTAGCTGCACCTCCTCGGCAACGCGTCTCGTTCTCAGTGACGTCGATGGCGAGACGGATGCAATCCACGACCTTTCCTCTCCCAATACAGCTGGATTCTCCTTGCCGTAATTCGCGATCTTCTCCCCCAAGCCAAAGGTGGAAGGTAAAAGAACGTGAACGGACTTGAACTGAGAGGTGAATGAGTAGGATGTTCCCCTGATCCATGCACGAGGAAGGACGGAAAGCTGCGAACTCGAGTGAAAGGTGGTCCAAGTCGATGAATTCGGCCAAAGAGAGGGAGACCAGATCTAAAGAAACAAAAGCCGAGCGATCCGCACGCGAACAACTAGCAGTGGCGTGCCACCTGTGGTAAGCCACATGCACCCTCCTCTTCCCAATGGTGACCTCCTTGCCATCTCAATGAAATTATGAGCGGCATGATCAGAGATTTGATGCTAGACCGCCCATGGGACGAAAAAGACATCACACATAGCCTCCGTCTATATCATGAACCCCAGTACGAATCGAACGTATCAGGGCTGCGCTCCCGGTCATCCATGCAGTGGTTAGAAGCTTGGATGGAAAAGGAGATTCGATTCGAGCGCGTCTGGGTTCCAACGTCGGGTCTCCAAGTAATTTCTGAATTAACGCGCAGGTCGGGAGAGTGATGATATAAGGATTCGGTTTTAGACACAACAAGACATTCGGCTCAAGCAATCCACGAAAAATTGGTGGGTCAAATTCAGGGAGGGGGGAATACCAAAGATTCATATGTTCCTATTAATATCACCCTGTCTGTTCATTCAGCCACCATCGGAAACATGGTTGTCAGAACATAGATCAATTATACGGCCAGTATGTATGATTTCACCCCCAGGACTCGAACCTAGTGCATTGGGCATACCTAATAGGCTACAACAGACCGGTAGGAAAGCCGATAACGCCAATGATCTCTGTCAGGTTCCTGCATTGAGAGAGTGAGACGTCCGAAGGGAGGAGCTTTATTCCTGCTAGTTTGTAAGGGCCGAGAGCTAAGCGTTAGCCAAGAGATTTGAATGACGAAAGGTTTGGGCTGGCAGGATGCTCAAGAGAAAATCATTCTGTAGCAGAAACCAAGCACCTCGTCTCCGGGGATATCGTTTGTGCTCTCGGCACCCAAACCTCGTCCACTCACACGCCTAAGTCGGACAGAGAAGAGGCCAAACGAAGTTGAAATAGGATGGAGAATCAAACGGCAACTGCGCCGAGTGGGAAGGAGCGTCTGTGCAGCACACTAGTAATATCGTGAGTATGCCAAACGAACTCGGAAAGCAATTCTCGTACCAAGCGGGACCGTCACCAATTTCATGCTCTATGCCATTTGGACCTGCACGCGTCTATGATGTCACCTAGCCGCACTTCCTCCGCAGCCTTGATACGAGCGTATCGTTCTCAGTGATGTCGATGGCAAGAGGGATGCGATTCTCGTCCTTTCCTATCCCGAACCTCTCGCAATAGGGCTGAATTCTCCTTGCCGTCATTCGCGATCTTCTCCCCAGAGCCAAGTAAGGGCGCTATTCCCTTGATCCATGCACGAGGAAGGCCACCATATTCGCGGAGAGCTACGAACTTGAGCTTGAGCACCTATGTGAAGCTGTTCCAAGTCGGATCTGAGGAAACAAGGGTTGGTACAGATGAGTGGGCCGTACGCGAGCAACTGGTAGCGACGCACCATCTGTGGTTGTGTTGAGATCCACGCACTCACATCCTCTTCTTCCAAGCGCTGACCTCCTCTCTTGCTATGTTCTTCTCTGTGTCCAATCATCATGACAAAGGCGTGAGCAACAGTCATTTTCAGAAATTTGGGTCGACAGTCATGGCGGTCAAAAGTAAGAACACCTTAGGTTCCCGAGGTTGGTGAACAGACGAGAGACAAGCAAGAAAATGCAAACGATGTATCAACGCGTCGACCCCGGTACGAATCGAATGTCTTGGGGCCGTACTCCCACTCCTCCATGTCGTGGTTAGAAGCAATGGAAAAGGAGTTGACACGAGTGTCCCGTAGACGAGTCAAAGCGACAAGTGGGAAGAATGGTCGTTCGTTTCCGCATCTCATTCCTTGCGTGCAGCGCTAGCAACCATCAATGCCAAAATATATGATCTTTGACTTCTCGAACATATGTATCACCCCTAGGACTCGAACCTGATGCATCACACAGACCCCATAGGCCACGACGGACTGGTGGAAAGACGATGAAGGTCGTCAGGGACTCGGAGGAAATTTATCCCCGCTCTCGGCACTATGGGCCGAAAACTCGAGCTCGAATGCTAAGGGTGTGCGAAGAAGGGTTTGAGCTGAGCGGATGATTGAGAGAAAAAGTATTCCGTACGGTTCGAGCTGTCTCCCCGCTCCTAAACCTCGTCACGCGCATCTTTTCTGACCCCACGGCATGCTAATGCCTTAATGCCGGCGAGAGCACGGCCATCTTGTTGGACGACAATGGAGACAGCAGACTTGCCGCCACTTTCCTCCTATGTGGCTGAGAAGAGGCTAGACGGGACGACAACTATGATAGGTGGGAGGACAGCGCGCTGGTAACAGAGGTGGGAACCTAAATTAGACCGTGCGGAATGCAAGCCCCTTAGCAAATATTCCTGCACCTCGGTTTCGGGATGTGCATCCATACCTCGTCTCCTTCCAGCGTGAGCAACTGTGCTTCCCCCAGACCTGTAAATTGACTGGGATGAGGCCAAATGGCGTTGTCGCATGTGGGAAGGATTTGGTCGGAGTGCAGAGGTCGGAAAGCAGTAAACCTAGATTGACGTGAATACATGCCACATTTCCTTCGTGTGACTATGCGTGTCCTATTGTTGCAGGTGAGAGACAGATAGGATAGTCAAATAATTCGTGAAACGGCATCACAGCTTACGAGTGAAAAGAATAAATTGTGTTGCAGAATGAGCGAACGACCAATACTGGGGCAAGGAGTGTTCACTGTTTCATCTGGAACCTGGAATCGGAAGTTTAGATTTCGGCTTTCTCGGACGCCAGATAAAGCGGAAGTTGGAACTGGTTCACTTCCTTCTATCTAAGGGACATTGATCAGAATAGAAACCACCAGTGACCACCACCAAATAGAACTTTATTATTTGACAGACTTAGAAGTTAGAAGTTAGATCGCAAGGCGTGTACAATAAAAAGGTTAGAATCAATTAAGCGACACCAGCAGGATTTGAACCTGCGCACTCAGAGAGTAACAGATAGAAGTGCTACATACCGCAAATTCTAATCTGTCGCCTTAACCACTTGGCTATAGTGCCCTAAAATGGTGCCTAAGCAGATAAACTAATTCATATCGTAATATTACCTCTGCCAAAAGTCTTGTTGATAAGTACAAGCCATTATCATGCTTGTCCAAGACGACGAGTACTTTGAAGCTGAAGAAGTATTTCGATGGACAGCTTGTATGAAATCATTCTACTCCTTCACTGACTCATGGACCGTCGAACGCAGCCCATGAGAAACCTCCCTAGCCAATACAAAGTCACCGACTCTGATTACCCATCCGGTCAATGACGAAGGTGACATCTGACTATTCGCGCCGCTTTCTCTCTTATCCCATGAAAGCCTCTGATCAAAACCAATTTGTGGGTCGAAGCGTACAAAAAATGTACAAACAGTGTTGATCCCAAACCTCCAGGACTCGAACCTGGTGCATCCATGGTTAGACCAAGTAGTCTATCCCTGGGGTATCTCAACTAGCATGCACGTAATCCAAAATCGCAAGCCAGAAAGAATGACGGCAAGCGGAGAGAACGTCGTCGCTGTGAGGTAGTCTCGTAAACCAGACTCAACGATCCGTATGAAGAAAAGTCGTTCAATGGATCCAGGCTAGACTTTTGAGTTGACGATCAGCTCAGCGCTCCGTTATCCATTCGCACATCTGCATTTCCCGGTTTCAACAAAATGTTGATGGATACCCAGCGGCCTTTCCGGGTAACTGCTGCCACGTCGGGCAAGAAAATGAAAGTCTTCTGGCGCATGACCATCACAACTAACAGGATTCGAACCTAATTTGTCAGAGGGTTTCAGGCATCAATAAATAGATGTTCATTGAGACGCGTACTTTGAACTTGTAGAACACCTTGAGCGACAACAGGAACGCAAGCCTATTCTCGCTAATCCTGGGCCTGTTTTAGAGCTCAGACACAGCTCATGAGAAGCTTTCCCGATACAGAGTCGATCCCCTCTGAGGCTCCGTGTCGATACCCGTAGGTGTTCAGCGTTAGCTACCATCAACTGCGCGCGCCCAAGCAAGCCTCGTATACTCCCAACACAGCCTGGAGCGTCTGTAGCACGAGAATCGAGTTCGTGTCTCGACTCCGGTTTCGATACACAGTGTACACTACATTGCGCTGCACTCAGTGAACCATACCCAGGAGGACGAGGAGCCTGAGGATAAGGACCACGCTGACCCGAAAGTCATGGAGATTCTCAGCAATGAGCTTGGACGACCCAGGTACGAGGACGTCTGGTTATGGTGTTATCTATCTCGCGAGCTCTGTATCCGGTAACCGTTTTGTTCTTGCAAGTACTGGTACTATTCGCAAACCATGAGGTGAATACATAATGTATAAGGATAAAAACACGGACTATTACTTTCTGCTACGTGCCCATTTGCGCCAAGTGCATGAGCGGACTCTCAGCGACAGAAACTCCATATCCTCCAGGCTTGTCTCTACGTCCGACACATTTCAGATACTTCTTACGAAGGTTCTTACCTTGGATATATCTCTGCAAACTCGACTGCTCGAACCGAGTGTGCCAGCAGTGTCTGCACTGCTTAATGAACTTGTACCGACGGAAAAGCGGACTGGGGATAGCTCTGCCACCCATCTCAGTATAACGTACAGAAAAAAGGACACTCTGGGCTTACAATGTTTCATTCACGTGCATCCGTTCGATGTTCCAGTGGTATTTCCGGTTCTCAGGCAAAGGTGAGAGCGCGCCACTCTCCCACCAAAAGTCCGGGGGAGCCTTGGCTCGGAGAGGGTTCAGAGGTGACATGACAGCCGGGGCGTGGCGGTTTTTATACTGGATGTCGTCGACGAGATCCCAGAATTCGTCCATGGGCAAAACCGTAGCCGGCTCCTCGTAGGCGTAGTCTAGTTCGAATGGATCATAGTCATCCTCAGCAGCTGCTGTGGCTTTAAATTGTCTAAGCAATCATCAGTAAAACGAAATGAAATCATAGAAGTTGTGGTGGTTCACAGTAACATGTCGTTTAGATTGGCCATTTCGCGCTTGATATCGTTTGCGAGGGATGCTAGAGAGGGTTTAGCGGAGTCAGGAGCATAGCGGAAAGACAGACGCTCGAGTTCGTCGCATGCTGGCCATGGGTTTCTTAATGGTGGCGCACTGGCCTCCCAAATATCTAGTGGCGCTCGATCGATGATCAGTCAGGGTCTACGTACTGGAAGAAAACATACCTTTGCAAGTGGCATCAGGGCTCTTGGCTAAGGGCGACTGGGAAACATCACGACTCCCCATGTGAAGGTGGTGATAAATCAGGAGACAGGGAACCAGCCGTGAGGTGGGTCATAATATAGCTTCAATTTAAAGGAGAATTGACACGCGAGTGGCTGGTATGTCTTGAAACCATCATCAATGGAGATCGATGATATCAAATCCGAGAATAGAAGAATAATGATTTGGCGAGAGTCTTTGTTCTCCATAATCGCCAGGAGTGGCAATATACCACGATCGACCCCTGGTTTCGAGTTCAACTCAGATGCCACCAAAGAGAAGGAGATCAGTGAGTGCATAGAAAAGATAAGACCAACGCGGCAAACACGAAACCGAAGTGGCGCATAATTTAGATACTTACTCTTGAGGGCCGGCTCAGCTGGCTTAGGTAAAACACGGAATAAGTATATTCGACAGTGAAAGCGAAATACAGTAAAAACAGCTCATCTATGGCATCGCAGTGGACAAATGCAAAAGAAACTGAAATCAGTGCTGTTCGAGTCATATGCAGATAGATAACACTCTGAGGCTGCTCCGCCTAGGGTTAGAATCTCGCGTCATTTTTCCATCATCTATTCATCATCCTCTTCCCAGATCTCCATCGGCAGCTTCACTGCCAAGCCTAGCGCAACGACTGATAACACCACAAACAAAGCATACACTCCATATCCCCCAAGCACGTTCTTTTCCACTGAAAGTGAAAACAAAGACGTCGCGAGCGCAGGCCCTATAGCCCTCGCGATAGAGACTGTAGTCTGCGAAAGCCCGTTCGTCGCGCCTAAGGACGCTTTACTCGGCGCAGAAGCGGTAATGAACATGAATATCGCGCCATACGACATGTCCATGATGATGGACAACATGATTATGCATGCTATGCCTACCCATATCCAGGGCGTACCTCCGCAGACGCTGATGATAGGGAAGAGCGCAAACATGAGGGGAAACGCGAGCATGCCGTTGATGAACACCCGGCGTTCGCCTAGCCCTCTGACTATCTTGGCGAAGAAGAAAAATTGGAAGATACCGGTAGAGGCGCCGTAGACGCCCATGATATAGCCAATAGTCCAGGGAGGCATGCCCAAGCCACCTATGGAAGGTGGCATAGCGAGAAAGAGAGGAAAGAGCGCGTTGAAAGCGATATTGAGGAAGGCAAGTGTGACGTAGTTCGCCACGGAAATTAAAACGGGAAAGATGAGCAACCCACGGAGCGGGACAGGCTCGTTACGCTTTTTCGAAGAGTTTTGGGTTTCTATCGAGTCGTAGGACCGGGAACGACGGCGGTGTTTTGGTACAGTCTGGAGAGGAGCGAGTTAGTGATGGATAGAGTTGGTAGATTATACGCTCTGACCTCTTTGAATAAGACAAGTGTTATTAAGAAGGCCAGGAAGACGAAGAATGAGGAGACGAGACATGGGAGAAAGTAGGGATATTGTTCCCAAAAGGCGCCTGAGAAGATTTCGGGAAATCGTTCGTGGGGACGTGCGAATGTACCGCCGATAAGAGGGCTGCGGGTGTTTTTTAGTTAATGTTGTGATCAATTTACGAAGATGTACCTACCCCATCGTCGCCCCAAAAGACCATACGACAGGCATAAGTGCGAATCCTTCCGCGCGATTAGACGGGTCGGTCAAGTCGCCCATGACGCTTTTCATGACGCCTGTCCAAGAAAGTTTCATTCATGTTCAGTGTCGAGAAGCGAGAATCGCGTACCGATGTTCCCGTTCAGCAACCCGGTGACACAGCGACTAATCACCAGTGCCCAGAAAGTTCTTGACACACCGAATGATAGCATTGAGATGGCGGACCCGACCAGTCCAATCATCAGGACGGGCTTCCGCCCTACGGTGTCGGAGAACCGACTCCAATGGAGAACTGTTATAGCTTCGGTCGCGAAGAAGAGAGATTCCTACAGGTGTCCTCGCTGAGCCTTGGCAGATGGACGCGAAAACAAAAGCGAGACATACGATCAAGCCAGCGTAATATCCGACCCGCCTATCGTCCCCCCCAGTGATATCCAGTTCACTCACCAGCTACAGGGCAAAAGTCAGTCACTAGCAAGCCATGGTGCGCTGGGACGACGCACCTGGTTGATGTAAGGGTAGATACTCTGGCTTGTTATCGGTTCGCATATCTGCAGAACCAGGACTATCCATATCTGCAGGTGCGGTAACGGTGTCGCGGGTCGTGAGCGTCGCTTTTGGGAGGAAAGAGTAGAGGTGGAGGTAGGGGTGAGAAGGCCAGTCTCCTCGGTGGGTGGGCAAGGATCCATTAGGCTGAAAGAAAAATTTGCCCTTTCGGCTATATAAATAGTGTTGCGGCCTCAACGTCATGAGTCAAACCTCGTGTCTGACTCTGCGTTCGCAGTTTCCATCGGTTTCCATCTGAAGCTCTTCATATCAGCTTGAAGGCTTTACGTTTTCTTAGTTTTTTCTCTCTCTGTTTCTTGGCCTGATTCTGATGTCCGGAACATGATTTTTTCCACGATTGCTGTATTCTGGGACGAAACAGATTCAGTAGATCTTGAATTCTTGAAGGACTTACCGGTGGTGCTGGCATCGGAATGTGCGCGGAACTCCCTTCGTACTCAGCTGTTCACCGGGCGACAATCGGAAATGGTCCCAGAGGGATCGCCCTGACCGCTAAACGTACTACTGGGATCGAAAACTGAAAAAGTCGTAATCCATTTCCCTGGTGGGACCCTCCCAGTTGGAGTCTGGCTTTACGTTTACTTCTTTTCGCAATCATCTGATATCGATGTGGATTCTGATTTTACAGCTAGTCACAACCATGCACG